TATCCAGCTCAATACCCCTGAAACATAGTCATTTCAACATGTAATCAATATTAAAAAAAATCATTGTAAAATTCGCAGGTTCCTTTACTCTTTTTTCTTGCTAAGTCTCCGAAATCCCGTGTGTGTTTCACACTTAACAGCACATCTCAGTTCAGATCAGCCCCATTTCCAGAGCTCAGCCGCCCCTGAATGGCTGCCATATTGGACATTGCAGGCCTAGAATCTTTTCCAGTCCACAGTCCATTTTAGAGTGACATGACGCCTCAGTTTTCTCTCTTATCCCTGGGAAAGCTCTCCTGATCCTAGACTCTGAGCCGGCAAGTTCCATAGAAGCCCAGGACCAAGAGCTTGAGGCCACACCAAGAGGAACCCTAGGTCTGCCTGAGAGCCAGGGAGGCTGGTGGCTGCTAGGAAGGCCCCCCTGCTCCTCTGCAGCTCAATTACTCACCAAAACTTCTGCAGGAGAGACAATCCTGCTTTCCCTCCTAACCCAAAGATTCCCTTAATTGGAAATTCAGTCTGAGCGTTAAACCAAGCCAGGGAGCTGCCCCCCAACATGGTAAGGGCCCTGTAGGCATACAGGACATGTTCCCTAGACACACAAGGAATCCAAATCCCCCGCTGTGCCCCCCTCCCAGCAGAGCTTGTGGGGGAAGCCAGACAATACCTTCTCACTCCAGAGATGCAGTTCCCAGCTATGGGCCTAGCAGCCTTCTCCAACTGAGCTTAACATTGTCATGTTCAAAGGCACAGGCCTCGGTGGCAAGGACAAGGAGGTCAGGGAAAGAAAGGGGGTGGAGGGGGGCAAGATTTTGCCTCCAGCAGGTGAGAACTTGGGGAAATCCCTCCTTCTTTCCAAGCCTCTATGTCCTCACCTTTGAAATCGAACAGGTTAGATGATGACGATGACTGCTTTTGCTGCTGGCTGCTCTGTGCCAGGCATTTTAGAGGCATTAGCTCACCTACACCTCAAAACAACCCTAGGAGGAAAGAAGATCCAGGGCTCAGAGTGGTGAAGCCCCTTGGTCACACAGCTTTTCAGGAGGGGAGCAAGAACGCGAACTCCCCATCTTCTGAATCAAGAGCCTAAGCTCTTACCTCTTGTAAGCTCTGCCCTGTCCCAAAGTGGCCCAGGACAGTCCAGGCTTATGCCTGTCACAATGATATGTCACTTGGCCTAATAATGAAAAATGTTCCCTTTGGAAAAAGGGACAAATCTTCCTTCCAGAAGAATTCCAGCTAATGAATGTTGATACTCACCCTTCTGGAGCTTAATTCCAGACCTTTCTCCCTCTCAAATGTGGACTGAACTTTAGTGTCTGGATTCCAAAAAACAGAGTATGGAAGGGAGGAAATGGCAACTTTACAGCATAGACACGTGGCAGACACCAGGTGTTCAAGGTTAATGTTATCTGTGACGAGTCACGTTGAGACCACGTGTCCCTGATACGATATGTTAAGGGCATCTTGCCTCCTGTGGTCTTCTTCCCCCAAGCCTATAACCTCAGTGTAACGTCAGACAAACTGAGGGATGTTCTACAAAAATGCCCAGCCAGTAATTCTCAAAACTCAAGGTCACAAAAAACAAGGGAAGGCTGAAAAACTGACCCAGAGCAGAGAAGACTAAAGAGACAGGACCACTGCGTGCAATGTGGATACCAGAGGGAATCTGGAACAGGAAATGTGCAGTAGAGGGAAAACTAGCGCAACTCGGACGAAGTCTGGAGTTAAATTAACAGCAATGTACCAGTGTTGGCTGTGACCAATGTCTTATGGTAACGTAAGAACTTACTGCTACAGAGAACTGGGCTGAGAGTAGGGGTAATTTTCTTAAAATTTTAAAATACCTTCTTTTCAGCTTAATGATACTATCTGCACACACATTCACAGCAATTTAAAGTGTACCAAGTTCAGAGATAGCAAGATGCGCTGGTTCAAGCTTCAGAATCAGAAATTTAGGACCTGGAGCGTTGGTTCTCCCGCTGGCTTGCCAGGTGGTCTCAGGGCATATTACATTCCTTCTCCGGGCCTCAGTTTCCACATCTGTATAATGAATTCACTGAACGACGACGATGACTAGGTGATACTTACTTTGCTAGGTGTCCAGCACTGTGATGGGTACCGTGATGTGTCCCCCGGTTTCCTCTTCAGGATTGGAGGACTTATTTCTCCTCTCCTCCTTCCCTAGCCGCTCAGAGGGGCACCGGCTGTCAGCCCTGCCCAGGGGTGGGGCTTGGCTGAAGAGAACCCTCCAGCCCCAGGTCATGCCCCTTTCTGGAGGGTAGCTGCAGCCACGGCAGAGGGTGTAAAGATCCAGCACCCTCTCCTCAACTAGGGACAACTCTGAAGGACATTTCCACTGCGGATCACCCCTTGTGGTTCACCGAGGCCGTTGTGGAGAATGCACTATAGCCCAGCGTCTCCCTCTGTCCAGCCCAGCTTCCTTCCCTTCCCCACAAATGTTGCCCCATAAACTCACCCCACGACAGGACTGTAAACCACAGGACCTGCGCTGCCTTTCTTAACCCTCAGACTCACCCTATTATTATAGATTACGTAATTGAGGTTGAAGACGAAAACTGATTTGGCCAAGTATGTATAACTAAGAAACGGTGGCACCACGGTTGGGCAAACTGAAGCTCTGGACAGGCAAACTCATGCGCCCAGGTCTTGGAGCCAACAACGACAGAACCAAGACTTGGTCCTATGTCTGTTCTACTCGGAAGACCACAGTGCCACAGCCTCCAGCCCCGGCCACTTAGAGCCCCCAGCAGGATTGCTATGGGCACCAGGACATACGAGTGCTTTTCACCACTGTCCCATCACACTGTCCCTGCCACCCTCCCTGAAGCTCAGTCCACATCTGCAGGAGGGGAAGAGTAACAGTACCTACCTTTTTTGAGATGTTGTAAAGATTAAGTGAGTTCATTTATGTAAAGGCCTCAGGACAGTGGCACAGAGAGCCCTTTATAAAGGGTAGGTTAAAAACAAATCACATAAGGAACATAAACTTGCAAATGTGAGACATTGTAAGAAAACATCCATGCAGTAGGTGCGCCTGGGTGGCTCAGTGGGTTAAAGCCTCTGCCTTCAGCTCAGGTCATGATCCCAGAGTCCTGGGATCGAGCCCCACATCGGGCTCTCTGCTCAGCAGGGAGCCTGCTCAGCTCTCTCTGCCTGCCTCTCTGCCTACTTGTGATCTCTCTCTCTGTGTAAAATAAATAAATAAAATATTTTAAAAAAGGAAAAGAAAAGAAAAGAAAACGTCCATGCAGTCGAGTGAGGTCAGCCTGTAACAGGGGGCTGGGCTCCATCAGCTCGCTGAGGAAGTCAGGCTGGACCTGAGCTCTGAGGGAGGAGTAGGAATTAAATGGGCAATAAGGGGGAGGAAGAGCAGTCCAGGCGGGGAACCAGCAGGAACAAAACTCTCTGGCAGAAGGAACTAAAGAGGGATGATGCAAGGCCAGCATGACTAACTCAGAGAATAAAATTCAGGTCCAGGGCAAGAGTGGTAGAAAATGAGGCTGAATAGGAGAGTAGGAACCAGATTAGGAAGGGCCATTCACTACCTGGGTGATTTGGGACAAGTCACTGTATCTCTCTAAGCCTCATTTAACCCATGTGTAAAATGGAAATAAAACCAGAACTTATCTTATAAGGTACCATAAGGAGATTAAATGACTCAATATTTGTAAACTAATCAAACAGTGCCACATACACAGCAAGAACTATACATGTTGGAGACAATATTAAGACTTTTTCTTTCTTTTCTTTTTTTTTTAAGATTTTATTTATTTACTTGAGAGAGAGAGAGAGAGACAGAACATGAGAGGGGAGAGGGTCAGAGGGAGAAACAGACTCCCTGCTGAGCAGGGAGCCCGATGCGGGCTTTGATCCCGGGACTCCAGGATCATGACCTGAGCTGAAGGCAATTGCTTAACCAACTGAGCCACCCAGGCGCCCAAGACTTTTTCTGACGTACACTGAGAAGACATGGAGGGGTCCGAATATGGATGAAAGCGTGGGTGCTGAATGGTTAGGAAGGTAAATGGACTCAGGGCTAGTAGGTAGTTGGGGGACCGGAGCTGAGTGTGTGGAAGAGAGATGGACTGTTGAACGGAAGTTATGGCTGGGCTCTAGAGATGGCTGGCTGGCTGGATGATAGATGGGTGCCTGCAAGAGAGGGTAAGTGGGTGGGAGTGGATGTTGTTTCGGTTGATGGAAGCATGGTTGGGTGATGGGAGTGACCGGGTTTAAATGGAGGAGACTGGGCGGATGGAGGTGGTTAGGCGAATGAATGCATGGACGGATGTTAAGATGGATGACGGGGTGGCTGGAAGAAGTAGAATGAATGTGGGTGGTCAGTGAACAAGGGGATGGGTAGGTGGCTGAATGGCTGTCTGGACGGGTGTCCGGGTGGTTGGGTGGATAGGTGGGAAACTGGAAGGCTGGGTGGGTGGAAGGGGGGAACGGGGTGGTTGGGTGGATGGGGGTGGACGAGGATGTGGCTGGGTGCATGGGTAGCTGTCCAGAGAGATGTCAGAGAGGCTGAGTGAGGGGTCGTTGTCCTCATGGAGGGGTTATTCAGGAGGTGAGTGGAGAAGTTAGGTGAACGAGGGTGACTGGGTGCCTGGATGGGTGTCTGGCGGCTGAATGGGTAAACAGAAGGTGGAGTGGGTAGGTGGGGTGAAGAAATGGTTGTTCAGGAGCCTGTTAGCCTGGATGAATGGAAGGGGTAAGTGAGAGGACGGTTGGGTGAATGGGTGGGAAGGAGTAGTTAAGTGGATGGATGGATGGACAGTTGGGTGAGTGGATGGACGGATCGACGGACGGACCGACAGCGGGAATAGAAGCGCCTCCAGCTGACTCTCTAAAAGTCACGGGGTACCCCTGATGGTGAAAGAAGCAGAAGAGGCTTGGAGCCTGGGCCTCCGGGTCACCCGGCCCGGAACCCTTTCCCCAGCAAGGCCCACCCCGCCCGCGCCCAGCCCGGGGCCTACCTGGAGGCGGCGATCTCGGCCTTCTGGCGCGCGATGGCGGCGGCACGCTGGGCGCCCTCCACGCTGTGCTCCACCTTCTGGCGGACCTTGTTGCTCTTGAGCGGCAGCACGCGGCGCTTGGTGCCCTTGACCAGCACGTTGTGGCGGTACTTGCCCTCCTCGCGGTGGCCGTCGGGCAGCGTGGTGCAGCCGTAGCCGTGGCGCAGGTTGTCCAGCCACTCGCCCTCGTAGCGGAGGCCGCTGGAGCGCTCGCTCACGCCGAAGCCCGAGCGCTTGTCGTTCTTCCACTCGCCCATGTAGGTCTCGGTGGTGGTGGCGTCGATGTCGGCCTCGAAGGGCGCGGCCTCGTCGGCGCCTTCCGCGCCCTCGGCGCCCTCGCCCAGGCTGGCGGTGGACGCGGCGTCGCTGGCGCCCGAGCTGAGGTCGCTCTTGAGGAAGCTGACGCGGCTGCGCTGGCTGCCCAGCGACGTGCGCGACTCGGCGCGCCTCAGGCGGCCCAGCAGCGCGCCCCGCTGGAAGAGGCCGCCGCCCTTGGGCGCCCGCGCCGCCTCGGCGTTGGCCAGCAGGCTGAGCGCGAAGCCGCCGCGCGGGATGGCGGCCGGGGGCGGCGTGGGGCCGTCCGGGGCCGGCGAGGAGGGCGAGTCCGGGGCCACCGTGCCGTTGCTGTGCTCGCTGCGCAGGGACGAGAGCGACGTGCGCAGCGGCGAGCGCACCACCACGGCCATCCCGTAGGGCACGCTCTGGCGCACGCCGTAGCCGTGGCGCATGCCGTTGGTGAACTGGCCCTGGTAGGTCCCTGCGGGCGAGGAGAGGGCGCGTCAGTGGGCGGCTCGCAGGCCCTGGGGGCGCGGGGCTGCAGCGGAGCGGCGGGGCGGGGGCAAGGAGCTCGGAGGGGGGAGGGCCGGCGAGGCGCGGGTGGGGATGGCGGGGGCGTCGCGGAGCGTGCGAGGACGTAGGTGCGCAAGCCGGAAGGCGATCACGCGGGGCTGTGGATACCCCGGGTGGTGGCAATGCGCAGGGGCACAGTGGTCGAGGCAGAGTGAGGCTGTGTGAGTCAGGGCGGTGTGTGAAGAGGTGTGAGCGGGCCAAACCGTGGCGTGCATGCAGTTAAACGAGGGTGTGAGGACACAAGTGGACGGCCAGGAGTTTGCGCGATGGTGTGACTATTTCCCACGGTGGCCCCACGACAGGGTCACGCTGGATGGGACAGAGTGAGGTCACATCAGTGTGTGAAGCTGTGTGAGCAGCTGAGATCCCAGAGTGCATGCCGTTAAACAGGCGTTTGAGGACACGAGTGGGTGGCCAGAAGCAGTTTGCACAATGGAGGGAATATTTCTGTTGGTAGAAACACAGCAAGGTCACAGGTATGCGAAATAGGGTGAGTCAGTTTTATTATTTTTTTTAATTAACACATCATGTATTATTTGCTTCAGGGGTACAGGTCTGTGAATCATCAGTCATAACACAATTCACAGCACGGGTGAGTCAGTTTCAAAGTGTGAAGTTGTCCAAGCAGCTGAGCTTCAGCGAGTGTGAATTGGAAGGAGCACACAGATTTTGAAACACACAAGAGAGACTGAACATGCAAAAGGTTGAGTGGGCAAGGCAGTTTGTGGGGTAATGGCAATATTTGCCTGTGTGGGAGTGTGCAAAGCAGTGGAACGTGTGGAATCATGAGTGTGCAAGGCTGTGTGTGCACAGAGGGTGACTGAGATCATGTAAGTGTGACATAATTGGATGTAACAAGGTCATGAGAGTATTTGAGGTCTTGAGTATATAAGGAAAGGCAAAGTTGAGTGAGGGTGCAAAACCATTAGAAATTCAAAGAGGATGGGGTTGTGTGAGCAGACACATCTGTTGGTATGTGAGGTTAAATGCATGTGCATTGTGATCCTATTGTGCAAAGTGACGTGCATGTTCAAGCTCATGAAAGGATAAGACAGTGAATTCGCAGAGTAGTGTGAATGCTGGAGAGCATGGGACTGTTGGAAAGCATGAGAAAGTGTGTATCTGTGCAAGGCCATATGTATAGAAGACTTTAAGGACATGCATGTCAGTATCTTTGGACTATATGAGATCAGAGTGTGCAATGCAGTGTGTACACAGTGGGGTAAGTGCCCAGGTTCCTAGAGGCAACATTGTGGGTGTGAGGAAGGTTCTGGGTGTGCAAGGCTGTCTCAGTGTTAAAGCACAGAGTAATATGAAGCACTTGGGGCTGAGTGTATGAGGTTGTGGGCATTAGGGAAGCTGAGACTATGTGAGACCATGGGTGTGTGTAGGATAGTGGTGTGTACAAGGAGATATCCCCAGTGGAGGCCTTGTGTGTCCATTAGCGTGAGCACATGAGCTCCTGGGAAAGAGTCTATGTAAGTATTCCGCTGAAAGCCAGGTTCCTGCCTTCGTCTTCATGACTTCAGCATGTAGAATAGTGCCTGCCATAATGTTCACTGAGTTAAGGGAGGAAATTCAGAGCCTTTGTTTTAAACACAATCTCCTACTTTACCCTGGTTAACCAAAAAAACCCAAGTGGCCTTCTTCCCAGCAAATGCCCAGGGTGGGTAGGGAATTGAAACGATGAGCCAGGAAAGGGATTCCTAAGCTCAGCCCAACAGGAGTGCCTCCCAGCCTTTGCACTGGCTGTTCCCCCTGCTTGGAACTCTTTTCCTCCAGATCTGCTTGCACTTCCACAAGCATCCAGGTATCCCCAATCTACTTCTGTTTTCTATAGTATGTATCCTTTTCTAATATATCCTATGACTTAATTATTATATTTATTGCTTTTCTCTACGCACTAGAATAGAAGTTCCATGAGGGCAGGGATCTTTCCTGTTTTGGTCTCTCATGCAGCCCCAATAGTTTGAATAGGGCCTGGCACATAGGGGTGCTCCATAAATACTTGCTGATTGATTGGCTGAACTTGTCTGGAAACTGCATCTCATTGTGTGACCTTGGGCAACTCTCTTCCCTTCTTAAGGCCTTAATTGCCCTGTCTGTCAATGACTGTATTGGATATGAAGCTCTCTAAAGTTTGGCCTAACTTTGAGAGGCTGGCCTTCTAGGAATTGGGCACCGTGACTTTGCAGGTGGAGGACAGTGTGTCCACGTGAATCAATTCTGCCTGGTCCCTCCCAGCACAGGCTGTTCCAGATCAGGCCTCCAGTCCTGTCCCTCCCCCAGACCCTTCTGCATGAAGAGACCCCATTAAGAGTCACGTATAGTGCCTAGGGCTCATTGAAAGGTGGGTTCTGTGATGATACTTATTTACAGAAGAGGAAGATGGTGATCTGAAAGGTTAGGTGACTTGACCAAGGAAGCAGAATCCAAACCCAAGTCTGTCTGATGCCCAAAGCTCACACTCTGAGTCCACAGTTCTCTATCCTGGCTCTTCAGAAGCTCTTAAAAAAAAAAAATCAATTTCCGGGAGCGCCTGGGTGGCTTAGTGGGTTAAGCCTCTGCCTTTGGCTCAGATCTCAGGGTCCTGGGATCGAGCCCCACATCGGGCTCTCCGCTCAGCAGGGAGCCTGCTTCCCCCTCTCTCTCTGCCTGCCTCTCTGCCTACTGTGATCTCTCTCTCTCTCTCTATCAAATAAATGAAATCTTTAAAAAAAATCAATTTCCAGGCCTCACCACCAGAAAATCTAGTTTAATTTGTTGGGGAAGGTCCCAGGTCTTGCAGCCTCTCTGTATAGCAGGCAGGAGCAGCCATCAGTGAGAGGGACGGCAGAATTCCCTTCAATGACTGCTGTGAGAAACCAAGACCATAGAATATGAACCGTAAAAGGGCCAAAGAGAAGTGGAGAGAGACAGAGAAAGGAGCTATCACTGGACATGATCTCAGAGGTAGATATAAATATGATCTCCATCACAGGTGGAGTGGTTCAGAGAGGTTATGTGACTTGCCCAAAGTCACCCAGTAAGGAAGGAGCAGAACTGGGTTTGAAACCAATTCAAATGGACGTGAGTGGCAGGTGCAGAGAATAGAGAAATGAGAGCATGATGTAGGGGATGATCCAATTGGGAGATGGATAGATGGAAGACTAATGTGTTCCCATTTCCAAGCTCATTCCCGTGTGGTCACATTGTATGGGAGGCAGAAGGACAGATAGAGATGAGAAGCCTGAGATAAACTGATCTCACACATCATCCAATCTGGAGAACTTCATTACTTCTCCTGATTCTCAAGTTGCTTATCTGGAAAATGGAAAAATAATACCCACTTTTTAGGGTTCAGGGAGAAGATTAAAAAGGAGACAATGACAACAACAAGTGAAAACAACCCAAATGTCCATCAGCTGGCAAATTGCTAAATGGATGGACAGGTTGTCAGGCTCACAGTAGAGTACCGGTCAGCAGTAAAAAGGAACAGACTATTGGTTATAGGGCATGGTTCTCGAAAACACGCTAAGTGAGTAAACCAGAGATGAAAGAATACAGACTGTGTGATTCCGATTACATCAAAGCCTGGAAAAAAAGCTGATGATGCAGAATGACAGAAAGCAGATCTGTGGTTACCGGGGCTGCGGGCAGGAGGGATCCACTTGCAAAGGGACATATGGGAACTTTCTGAATTGGTAGAAATGTTCTCTACCTTGATGGTGCTGGTGGTTACACAGGTAAATACATTTGTCAAGACTGTACACTTGACATGCATTTTTTTGCATGGAAACTATACCTTGACTAAATGATTAAATGATATACCTTGATTAAATGATTAATTAACTTTTAAGGAGAAAAAAAATATCACCAACACCCCAGCACAGTATTCTGCAAATACCCGTCGGAAAATCCTGTCAACTCTCCTTTCCCAGTGCGTCTGAAATCCAGCCAGTTCTCACCACTCCCCGCTGCTACTAGATGGTAGCCCAAGCCACCCTTGTCTCTCACCGGGATTTTCATGATGGTGGCCACGCTGGTCTGTTTCCACCCTGTGCTTCTCTATCCATTCCTAACACGCCTATTGTGGGGATTCTGTTCAAATGTAATAAAGTCACCATCATGACACTGCTCTGCCTCTTCTCATTCAGAGGAAAAGCTGAAGTCCTTAGTGACCCACAGACCCTACTGATCTCATCCCCCATCACTCCTCTGTCCTCACTTCCCCTCACTTCCCCTCACTTCCCTTTCCCTCACTCCACTGTAGCCACAAAGGCCTCCTTGCTGTTCCCCCCACACACTAGCCATGTTCTGTTTTCCACACCCTCAGCCTGGAATGTTCTTCCTCCAGAAATTTGCATGGCTCGCTCCTAGAGATGTATTTAATGGTTCCTCTAAGACTTACCCAAGGCAGCACAGCTAGTAAATATACCAAAACTCACATCGTGTTTAGCTGTGCTCCTTCCACTGTGCTCAGAAGAAAGAAGGAAAAAAGATCTATGAAAGGGAAAAGTGAACAAGAATAGAGCAGAGAAGATGGTAGAACATCTAATCTCGGGGTTGGACAAGTTTGTGAAATTAAATCAGCCAATCTACCTTTAGCTTAAAGTTGGCATGAGATGGGCTGACATGTTCCCTTTAAGCCCAAGAAAAATTGAGATTGCAACAGGAGAGCAGCTCTTGGCTACCAGTTGGGGAGGAAACAGCCAGGCTATATTAGGAAACTTACAAGCAAGTGGCAAGAGGCACAGACACCCAGGGGAGGCTGGGAGTGATGGGGCCCTGGGAAGGGGGAAAAGCCAAGCGCTGGGGCCATCCCCAGCCTGACTCTCTAAGACAGGGCAGCTCTCCCTGGGGACAGGAAGAATGTATCCACATCCGAAGAGAGGGAGCAGGAGGACCTTGCCCACAGCCATCTGGCTG